ATGTCATTGAACATTTTTTTAAGTGTACAATCCAGAGATTTTTTTTTGTATACTCACAAATTGTGCACCCATCATCACTATCTAATTCCAGAACATTTCCATCAACCCCTCACAGGAGACCCTGTGCCCATTAGCAGTCACCCGCTATCCCCTTCCCTCACCAGCTCCTGGCAATCATAAATCTATTTTCTGTCTCTATGGATCTGCCTATTCTGGACAGTTCATATAGGTGGAATCCTATACTCTGTGGTCTTTTGTGACTGGCTTCTTTTTATCTAGCTTAAGGTTTTCAAGGTTCATCTATGTTGTAGAGCAAATTTGTACCTCGTTCCTTTCTATGGCTGAATAATATTCTGTCTTAAGGCTAGACCATATGTTGTTTATCCATTCATCAGTGGGTGGACATTCAGGTTTTCATCTTTTGAGGATGGTAGATTATACTCTATGAACATTCACATACAAGTTTTTATGTAATGTATGTTTTCATTTTTTCTTGAGCATATTCCTAGGAATGAAATTTCCAGGCCATTTTGAGGCACTGCCAAATTATTTTCTAAAGCAGATTCAGTATTTTACATTCCCCCTGACAAGCTATGAAGTTTCGATTTCTCCATATTCTCACCAACACTTGTTATTGTCTGTCTTTTTAATTTTAGCTGTGTTAGTGTGTGTGAAGTGATATCTCATTGTGGTTTTGATTTGCATTTCCTTAATGACTAATCTAGTTGAGCCTTTTTTGACGTACTTATTGGCCATTTGTGTATCATCTTTGGACAAATGTCCATTCAAATCCTTTGCCTATTTTTAATTGGGTTATTTGTCTTTTTATTTTTGAGTCATAAGAGTTCTTCATATATTCTGGATATCAGATCCTTACCAGGTATATGATTTGCACGTATTTTCTCCCATTTTCTGTGTTGTCTTTTTACCTTTTTGATGGTGCTCTTTGAATAACAAAATTTTTTAAATTTTGCTAAATCCAATTTATCTGTTTTTGTTTTGTTGCATCTGCTTGTCATGTCATAGGTAAGAAATAATTGCTTAATCCAAGGTCATGAAGATTTATGTCTATGTTTTCTTCTAAAAGTACCTCCTACATTTATGGCTGTGATCCATTTTGAGTTAAGTTTTGTGTACGGTGTGAGGTAGGCGTCCGACTTCATTCTATTGCAGGCGCTATTCAATCACTCCAGCACCATTTGTTAAAAGAACTATCCTTTCCCCATGGAATTTTCTTGTCTAAAAATACCTTGGTACTGTTGCCAAAAATTCATTGACTATAAACATGAGTTTACTTCTGAGTCTCAGTTGTATTCCATTAATCTGTACGTCTACCCTCACGCCAGTATCCCCCTCCTTGACTCTCCCTCATGCTGCGCCCACCCATTCAATGACAATGGATTGTGTGTCTGTCTGGGACTGGTGCTGTGCTTGGAGATGGGCATACAATGGTGGGCAAGATGGACACTGTTGAGGGGAGGGAGCTGACGTTCCTCTGGGAGTGCATGGACAATGAATGAGTAAGGAGGTAAGTGGAAAAGGTGATTTCAGATAGTGATTCATGCCATGGAAGCCCAAGGTTCTGTGACAGAGGATGACCTGCACGAGGGGGGCTGCTTTATAGAGGGCTGCTGGGGAAGGCCTCTCTCAGGGGTCACATTTGAGGTCTGAATGAGCAGTCAGCCATGCAGAATTTGGAGTAGTGTGTGCAGGCAGAGGGCAGAATTTGCCTGAAGATGAAACTGTTTTATAAATTCGCCAGAAAAAAATGTTCTCATAGGCTGCATGCTTGCCCCATTTACATCACAGGTCTGCCCCCTACAGATCAGTAAGTTTGTGATCGCCCTTGGACACATAGGAGTCCTGTTGCCAGCTATGAATGATGAATCTATACCACTCCAATTCTTTTTTTTTTAAAGGTTTTATTTGAATTACCCCAATTCTTGACACACTACCTAGCATAGAGTAAGTGTCAAATATTTTGATTTGCTTTCTCTTCTAAAGAAACATAAATTAGATAGCTTTTTATATTGTGTGGATTACAATTTCAGCCAGTGTTTACTCACAGTATTCATTTCTGGCAGGCGGTTTATTTTTCAGCCACAGCTGAGCAAGTTGACCTCAGGGTGCTCAAAATCAGGGTTCTCTTTAAAAACCAACCCTTAACATTTGCAGTCCAGTAGAGGGCGACACAACAACGAATAGAAGGAGAAAACGTCAGGTCAAACACATCTAAGGTGTCTTTCCAGGGATGCTGAAACTTGGGAGTCAAAGTCAGGGTGGAAAGAAACCTTTTTGTTGTTGTTACTTAGTATTCTGAATATATTATGCGCTCACGTGGTTCAAAGGTAGACTAGAATAGAATGGCGTCGGTGAGATCTCCCTCCCACCCGCTTCTCCTTGCACCTGGCTTCCTATCTCACCTCCACCACAGGCATGACTGTAGGTTTCTATTGTGCGCTCTTCCAAAGATTTTTGTGCACATATAAACAAATACAAATGTCTGTTTACACGCCCCCACACTTTACCCAAAACACAGCAACACCAAAAGGTGTGAGCATACTGTTCTGTACCTTGCTTTGCTTTTTCATGATGTATCTTCTAGAACATTCCATATCAGTGTCTAGAGAGAAGGTCCTCTCTTGGTCTTTCTTTCACAGCTGTCTACTTCTCCATGGGATACCTATATTACCTATTGATGGCATTCAGGTTATCCCTAATCTTCTGCTATTAGAAATAAAGCTCAATGAGTAATCTTGAATATATTTTCCACACACGTGAATGTATCTGTACCTGTGACTGTCAGTCCCACCTGCACATGAGAATCACCAGGGGGCCTTTCAAAATCCTAACACCCAGACCACACCTCGGATTAATTGTATTCAAACCTATGAGTGTGGGACCACGGTAACTGGGTCCAGTCAGCATTGGGCTCCAGTGACCTCTGGGGGAGACTGACAGGTCACACAGATTTGTAAATGTGCCAGGTATTGCACAGGGGGTTGTGCTAACCTGCTAACAATTTTTAAGGTCTCTCAGTCCGGCTTTAATTTGCATTTCTCTTATTAGAAGTTGAGATTTGAGCATCTTTTCATATGGTGAAAAGCCATTTGATCTCTCTAGTCATATCTGTGCCCATTTTTCTTTTCTGTCTTGTAGGTCGGCCTTTCTCTGTATTAGCAAGAGGAATCCTCTGTGGGCTGAGTGGCAAACACTCTTCACTGCTGCTTTGTCTTTTGCTTTTACACTTTGCATGAGGCAGTATCTTTTTTTTTTTCCCATGGGGAGTTTTTATATATTTGAATGGATCACCTTTTGTTATGGCTTCTGGATTTTGGGTCATGTGTAAGCGACCTTTCCCATTCCAGACTTACAAAGGAAGCTTCCCATGTTTTCTTAAACGTTTGTGGCTTCCTTTATTTACATTCAAATCTTTGATGCTTTTGGAATTTACCCGCATCAGTGTGGTGTGAGGTAGGATCCAGCTGTGTTGGTGTGGGTAAGACTGCAATAGTCTATCTCCACACCGGTAGGTGATTACAAGGGTGGGGGGAGCGAGGGTCTATCTGGACCGGAGAGGTTTGGTGGGGCCCCTTTTTACAGCCAGGTTGCGAGAGACATGGGCCAGCAGATGTGGACGACTGTTTGTAAGCAATCATTGTGTTTCTCCCACTTTATTTCTCTTTTTGACTGATTTTGGCTTCAAAGGTAATTTGCCCAGGGCTGGGAACTTATCCCCGGAGTTACAGTTGGTTTCTTTCCAATTGTACCATTACCTTTATCAAGGAGTAAGGGAGGAACTGCTATGGGCTTCATCAGGCCAGAATTTCTTTGTTTTTGTCTTATTATTTATAGCAACCTCTGCTCTTACTTTCTTGAAAATGTGGTCCCATCCACCCACCTATTTACGCATCCACTGGTTGATTGATTAGTTGACATTCTTTTTTTTTGGTTTGTTTGCCACCGAGAATTTTATTGCTAATTGGACATCGTCCCTGACCTTTGGGTTTCTACTTAGGATTTATTTGGGTTAGTTAATAACCAATAACAATGACCTTTTATTGAACGTCTAATATATTAGTTTATATGTATCATTTCCGTTGAACCATAAAGCAAAGGTATGATGTCAGTAGAAGTATTATTCCATTCCAGGAAAGTAATCTCGGAGCGCTTCTGAGCCTTGCCCAAGGGCCCACAGTTAGAAAGTGGGCCTTGACACTGTGCCTGGCCTTTGTGGAAGGACTGGATGAATGAGCGAGGCAGTGAGGAAATGAGGAAGGCAGAGTGAGTCAGCTCTCACATTCAGAGGCACCCAGAGTGGGAGATAAGATGTGAATGCAAATAACCAGAATACAAAGTAAACAGTGATCCCACCAGTGTTTTGGAAGCAATCCACTTTGTCCCCTCCTATTTGAAATGCCTGGTTCTTTCCAATTCCTGCCCACCTACAAACAGGGAGCCAGATCCTGCGGTGGGGGCAGTCTCTTAGGTTTGATGCATTAAGTCACCTCCTCATTGGTCCCCCGTGGAGCTGTGCAGGCCTGCAGCCAAGGTGGTGGTGGTTGGGGTGGGATGAGGGAGGAGGAGGGAAGAAGGGAAGGGAGGAAGAGGGCAGGGGACGGAGGGGGCAGGGAGGAGCCAGAGGCGGCGGTCGGTGGGGTTACCCGGGAGAGGAAGGGCTGAAGAGAGAGAGGGGGGAGGAAGTGGGAGGAGCAAGGAGGGGAAGGGAGGGAGAAACGGGATGGGGGAGGGAAAGGCGACGCAGTAGCTCCTAGAAGATAGTGGGAGCGGGAAGGAGGGGGAAGTGGAGGGCGGAGAAAAACCCGTTCTCCAGCCCCCTCCGCGGAGTTGCGCAACCCTCTCGGGCTGGGATTGGCCACCTTCTCACAAGGACGCCCCGCCCCTTAGGCCCGGAGGCCAATGGAGAGCGTGGGCGGGGCGGGCTGCGGCTCAGGCCGCCAATGGTCGGGCGGGGTGGGCGGAGCTGCGCGGCCGTGTCCCGGCGCGCGTCCGGCGCTCCCCGGGCAGCCGTGCTCGTAGCTCGCTGTCCGCAGCTTCGCGTCTCCGTGGCTGTCACCGCCCTCGGCGCGTCCCCGCCGCTCCGATCCCTTCGCCCGCCCGGGGCACGCTCCGTCGCTCCGGGCAGAGTCCCCGCTGCGGCCCGTGGCCATGGCCACCAAGATCGACAAAGAGGCTTGCCGGGCGGCGTACAACCTGGTGCGCGACGACGGCTCGGCAGTCATCTGGTGAGGAGCTCTCCATTGCCCTCCAAGCCCCCTCCCCGGGCTCCGTGGGCCCGGGGCTCCAGGCCGTCTTCCAGCCGGGACGGACCGGTGGCCGTCCCGCGCGGCCTCCCGCAGCCTAGCCCAGGCCAGCGTGGGAAGCGGGCGCCGGCTGTCCCTAGCCAGAGCATCGTTCAGACCGTCCTGCTGCAAGCTCGGCGCCCTGCAGCTCCCAACGCTGATGTGTGTGTGTGTTTTTTCCAATCCAAAGGGTGACTTTTAAATATGACGGCTCCACCATCGTCCCCGGCGAGCAGGGCGCGGACTATCAGGACTTCATCCAAGAGTGCACAGGTAAGGGAGACGCGCCTCCTGGGGAGTTCCTGATCTTTTGGGAAATTGTCAGCGGCTGCGGGAGGAGCCGCAGAGGCCAAACTGGGAGGAGACCGTGGCCATCCTGGGCGCCTCCGGCACTGGAGGAACCAGATTAGACCGTTTTAAAGCCTCACAACGCCTTCGCCCCTGCCGACATCCGGAGCAGCCAGAGGTGACCACCTGGCTCCCTTGCGCCCCCAGTGCCCTCTCCAGGCGGGGCAGCTGCTTTGCCCCCTGCAGGTTCCTAGTTTTCCAGGGTCAGTTCATGTGGTTTCCAGCCGCAGTATTCAGCCCTCTCCGCCTTTCTCTTTTGATGGTCAGTGAGCCAAAATAAAAACAATCCCGGAGCTTCCTGCGGGGGGAAAGGAACTGTCCACCGCATCCTCCTTTCTCCCACAGCCGTTGTCTGCCTGCCGGTTATATATGTTTTGTTTGTAAATATAGAGCCAGATATGAAAGAGTACACACCATGTGATTCCATTTATATGAAAGTGTTGGAAAGGCAAAACTAATCTGTGATGTGAAAAGTCAGACTAGTGGTCACATTTTGGGGCAGATAGCCACTGACAGGGAAGGGCACACAGAAACCTGGGAAGAGGGGGACTAGAAGTGTTCCATATTTCCATCTGGGAGGTGGGCACACAGGCGTAGGCATATGTAAGAAATCATTAAGCAAAAGACTTAAAATTTGTAAACTTTGTGCACTTCTCTGGGGTGTGTTGAGCCATTAAAAGGAAAGAACACATGGTGTGTATTACCACAAATCCTTCAATAGAGGCACAAGACTCAGTACCATTGATAACAGGATCCTTTAAGGGTGAGATGGGAGAATAGGCTCTCTCCAGTCTCTGATCTCTAGCTTGGAAGCAGATGTATTCAGATCAAAACAGCACAGTGTGGGGACTCTGAGCCAGCAAGGTGGGTTTGACTCTGCTAGTGGCCACTTCCTAGCTGGGAGGTTTGGGGCATGTTGCTAAACCTCTCCCCACCCTGGTTTCCTCACCTGCAATTTTGGAGGACTGTTGTGAGGCTCAGTCTCAATGTGGGTAAAATGTTCAGGACAGTGCCTGTACAAACCACGTGGTCATTTGTGAAATGAATGAAAAGTACAAAGTTGTGCCAAGGATTCTGTGACTGCTCCTTTCCTTAACTACTTCCTTAAACAAATGATCTTTTGCATTTAGTCTAATTCAGAGAATACTGATAAAGTGGCTGCTATGGGCTGGGTAGTATTAA